TTTTTTTTTTGTTTAGAAAATGATTGTGAATAATTTTCTCAAAATCTAAATTGCAATTTGTAAATAAATGCACAGTATTTAGGGAATTTGCATAATTCATTGGCCAAAATGTCTGAAACTGTATTTCTAATAATTGCTATTTTAGTCTTCAATCAATTTCAATTAGAAGATAATTTTGTTGGAGAAGTATTGCGTTAGTTTGACTTTGATATTCCCTGTAGCAATTTATTTTCATTTGGCCTTTACTGGATGGACAGCATTAGGAAGTCTGGTAAGAAGTAACATATTTATAAAATGGGATATAAATAATCATGAATATATTTTATATTTTGTACGTTTTCTTTGAAAGCTTAAAAGTAAAACTTTATATATTGGTGGGAAAATCTATGACAAAGTAGAAAATATATTTTGTGTGATGCATTTCATCCTTTAGGACTTCATTAGGCTAAAGTGATGTTTACATTGATGTAACTGCACATATACATGAAGGAGACACTGTAATTTTGAATTTAAATTAAAAAATTTTTTACTGTGTTTTGTGTATATAGTCTAACCAATTTAATTTATTTTCTTTTTCTTTGTTTTTATCACTTTTGTCATTAAATATCCCACATTCTGATAATACGAAATCTGCCAAGAAAGATGAAATGTAAGAACCTGGAGATAAATTCACTGTGGATGATCTTTTAATTAGGGTAGCATTTTTTAAATCAAACTTATGGTCACTCATTATGATGAGTAAATAAATCATTTCGTGTGCTGTTGCTGTTTTATACAATATCCCTTTTGTATTCATATAATCTTTTATTTAAATTCCTTTTGGTTTCTCCTATGTATTTCTTGTGGCTACAGGTGGTAGAGTAAATTTCTTCAACTTTTAGTTTATTTTGTTTTGTATTAATTCTTATGTTACACTTTGCCATAGATTTTTCCTAAAAGTTGTTCTTGATATATAAATTTTTATGTCGTTTTCCCATGTGTATATTGTATAATTAACATGACTTATATAAATTCACAGTTGTGCATTTTTAAATATTTAGAAATAATTGAAAATAAACATTGCAGCTCATTTTTGCATGATTAGTCACATGATCAACATATTGCATATCTCTGTATTTTCACGTAAAGTGATGAAAATAAAACATCTCTACAAATATATCTTGTAAATTTAAAATATTGGTCAATATATATGAGTTTCATATGTGGAGAAATAGAAGAGGAATTAAATTTTCATAATTAATTTTTAGCTACCTACTATTATGTTGAGTGGAAATAAGAATGACACTGAAAGAAAAAAAAGAAGAAATTCACAAATCCCAACCCAACACACCCCCAGAAGATTCTAGAACTTTCTGTCAATGTAACTTTGATTGAATTGATTTTAGAAATTATCAGTTATTTGAGCACTGCATGTATCGCACATACTGAATTTTCTTTATACAGAATGCAGCAGAAATACCTTCCATATTTTGAAAGTTGACAAAAAGTCAAGGATATATTTCCCTATTTAAAAAAGGGCTAGTTTTTATTCATTTGCTTTTAAAAATGACATTCTGTAAATGGTGGCTTCTATATACCATATTATATTGTAGATGATTTCTAAAGTTTTCCAGTACCCATAAGTTAGAGGTTTCCAGGTGGCTTTCCTTTAATTGCTGAATTTGTGGCCCTGAAATTTTCAACCTGTACCAGTATAGATTTTCTATTCAGAGCAGCATCATTCTGACATAAGAAATGAGCACAAAAAGCTCTCTGTGTTGCAATTACAAATTCACCAGTCTTAAAAAATGTTTCAACTGCAAATGCACAGTATGCACTGGTCTGAACCATGATGGTAACTCATAGTATCTGGGGGGAGGGGGGAATGGTAAAACATAGACAAGTAGCAATGGTATCTCCATCTAGCTTACGTTCACTAGCACCACACAGGTGACAATTTAAAATGTGGGAGGTATTTCTGCTGCACCCTGTATTTTGAAGTCACCAGGAGGAATAAACCTCATTGAAGAAAAAATAAGAATTTTGGGCTTATGAAGTCAGCAACAGTATTAGTAACATTGTACAAAATTAAACAGACCTAGAATCATCATTTTTTTTTTTTTTTTTTTTTTAAGAATTCAGAAAAGTATGGCAGTAAGAAACAACCAGTAAGGCCACCCAGATTGACTCTTTTCAGTTATTATCATTGAGGGAAATCTAAAGGTAAACTATTCTCCATGGACCTCCTGAAATAAACTTGTTCTTAGTAGTACTGCAAAAAGGGATTTGAATCTAGGAGCAAAAGATGATGGTATTCTCTGATGAGAAATTCCAATTTAAGTGGTCTTGATAGAATTCACTGTTATTGGTATGATCTTTAGAAGCAAGAACAATTCTCTCCATCCACCTAACTATCCATTTGGTAGATCTATTATAGTGTAGTGAGCTTTTTTAGTTTCAGGTGAAACTGAACTGGTGGTTATGGAAAGGAAACACTCAATTTTATGTAAAACTGTTACAAGTGTCTTGTCTTATTTGCTAACTGACAATTTGAACAAAATTTGTATTCCAGCAAATGAATGCAGACTTTAACAATGCTAAAGATATCAAGGAATATTTTGAACACAAGGACATCATGATTATAGACTGATCTGTAAACAATTGAGTAAAAGCCATTTGAGAACTTTGGGGGATCCTTTCATGACATGTCTATGAGGAAAGAGGGACAAGAACAACTTAATTTCTTGTATAGTGTTGTTGGGAGGAAATTCTTATATCCTCACTGCTAAAAAGATGTATTTAGATTTTACAATCAAAAGGAAAGCGTTGTTGTTATTAATTATTGTCCATTCATCTTTAATTAAAGCAGTTTTTGTCTTAAACATATTTCTGTGCTCAGAACTCAGAATTTTTCAAATTTTGCATATACTTAGATATGGAGCACTTTGTTCTAAAATGATTTTAAAATTAAATCCTATATCCCTTCATTTGATTATTATTATTGGGTTACACACCTTGTGATGAATATTCCAAAGTTACAAGATATTTGGAGTGTTTTACAATTATTTACATCACTTTATTTACAGCACTTTTTTCATCTTATTTTCTTTTTTCTTAATGTTTGGTTTACAAACCTTGATTGCTGAAATATTGAACATATGTTGACAGAGAGAAGGGTCATTTTTTGTACCCAAGTGTCTAAATGGTACTGGCATGTACTTTGCAAATTTATTACAATGTATATTAGTGTTTCCAATAGTAATTGTTTGTAAAAATACAATCTAATGTCTTGGGGTAGAAACACAAGAGAGTTTGGATGTGCAGCTACATTATGGTTATTGAAGAATCTGAGGGTACTGAAAAATTCTTGGCCTGAGCCACTTCTCAAAATCTGACCAAATGATTAAACATGAAAATTGCTTTACTTACTTGGTATTGAATCCATTCTTAGATGAGCCAGTAATTTTTCAGCACTACTGCTGAATGTAAATTTAAAATAAAAATTGAATTGCATATTGTTTTTTTACTCCATGCATGTTGGAGGAGGGAATAGCATCTTCCAAAACCGGGGGGGGATATAGAAAAAATAAATAACTTTGAATAATTAGCAACAATTTTACAATAATTTTTGTTTTTTAATGACTTTATAATAAACAAATTTCAAATCAAGGTCAGCTAAGTTATATTGACTGGACATTTTTTTAAATTTACTTATACATGTTAAACTTTAGTTGATGTGCAGTTAGGAAAATATCTTGCTGATATTTGATACCAAATATTTGACATTGTAAATTGAAATTTTAGGTTCTAAAACTTTTTATCAGTTATTTTAGGATAAATGCAGCATTTACTGTCATTGCAAATATTTCATTCTTTTAAAAAAAAGTAGGAAAAAAAAAAACTAATGGTGTATTTTGGGTGGGATGCTCAACATTATTTTTATTGATGCATTGCATTAAATTCTATTTTGGCAAACTTGTAATGATTACAGATTGATTTTTATTAATAAAATAAATAAGAAATTAAAAGCAAGTTAATTATTGAAGATAGAAAATTAATGGCACTGATCAGAGTTGATTTTAAGTGTAAATATTTTATGCCGGTTAGCATAAAGGAAACTTGAAAAAAAATTTTTTCCCCTCCAACATACCCTCCTCCATACATTTTAGATTGTAATATAAAAAAATCTGCTTGTGAAACCTGATATTAGAAGCATGAATTGCTTTAGTGTAAGAAGAAAAAAGAAAAAAACTTTGTAAAATATTTCCTATAGTATCCACTAAAGATAGTATCATAAGTGTTAGTATGGATTAGAATCTAATTTGATTTCTTACTACAAAGTGATGTTGAAAAACTTATTGACCCAGCCAAAATGGTATTTTCCAAAAGTTCTCATGTTTGATCAGATTTTGGGAAGTAGGTTTTGTTCAACTTTTCAGCACCTCCTATATTTTAATTATTTTTAATTTAGATATTTTTCTTTATTTGGGAAATTCATTTTTTTTTTAGATTCAGAGAAGTTTATTTGGTTTTTCTGACTCTTAAAAGTCTAATAATAATGGTAATTACTATAATTAATATTCTGTTTTAGATATTTGTTTTGTTATTCTAATTACAGAGGAATAAATTGCTTCTCTTTATATTATGCATAATTGGAAAAATGACCTATTTCACTCATTACACCCCCCTGCACACATGTAGATTGGGCGTATATGGATATCAATTTTTCATTTAACCAGTTTCAAAGACTAACAAAAGTTCTTTGTTAAAGATTTTGTTTTTTCTTTTCCTTTATTATTTTGAACCATTTTACTAGTTTCTAGTGAAAATATAAACATAAATCATCTACTGTTTGAGTAGTTTCAGTTTTGAGTTTTTGTTGGTAATGTTGTAACTATATGTATTGTTACTTTTTTTTCTTAAAGAACTTTTATTGGACTCTATTCACCCTCCCCCCTCCATGGATAATGCTCTGATTTTTTAAAACTAACATTTGCTGATTATTTTCTTTGCAGGATAATATGTTTGAACTGCAGGCCACTTTGGAGTTTTCCGTGGAACTTGGGAAATTCTACAATGTGGATCTTTTCCAAAGAGGGTAATTATTCTTATTTTTTTTTTTTTCCATCTTTCATTAAGAAAAAAATCTTACTACTTGTCTCCTACCAAATTTTTTCAGAAAAAAAATGAAATTTCTTCATGTATACAATCTGTAAGATCTGTAAATGTAGATGTGAAAAATTATTTTTACTACTACAAACTTTGAAGTTTTCTTTTTTTTTTTGTAAATCACTTAAATATTGTTTACTTTTCTCTGGCAAGATGATTACTCATTTTTACACAAATTTCATTTAAATAAATGCATAATTCATCAAAATAAACTTATATCTGTCAGGTAGATTTATTATCTCGGGATATGATCTTCAATGAGAAGTAGGCAATTTATCTTTCTGACTTTGGTACTTTGCCACTGACCATCTCCCAGTGATTGTTTGCCAAGAATCCTATGTATTAATTAGGACTCTAAGGCTGTAATGTCTTAAATTGAGTTTTACACTGTGTTGTGGAGATAAAACACATCTCTCCAGAATATGATTTGGACTCATCCAAATAGTATATATACTGATACTAAGAATCATCAGGAAGGAGAATTCAGTAAGACTTCAAGTGACATTATATTTAATGATTATGTTCTCTTCATTCAATGGAATGAAAACATAAGTATTTAAAAGAGGCAGATAAGCAAAATATACAGAGAAACATGATTGTTGGGGAAAAAGTATTGGATGTCTCAAAGCATCCAGACCCAAAATTTACTTTTAAAAATTTAATGATTGATTTAAGACTTTAAAACACTATTTAGAATTTTAAAATAACATTGAAAATGAATTTAATTAACTTAAATTTTTATCTTTATTAAAACTAAATTGATGAAGCAAAATGTGAACACTTTCTTCAAAAGTGATTAGTCTTTTATGTGCCCATAAAATAACTCTTACCTGATGATACATGAACGCCACAAGACTTCTAAAAGTTTACTTTTCAATCTAGCACCAAGATGTCTAACAGTGCTCATTGAGATTGAAACATGAAATTCTTGAAACCTTTCCAGTACAACTTGTGCATTGTGACAGGGCACGTTATCCCACTGAAAGATGCCACTGCCATTATTGAAGAAGACCGTTGCTATGAAGGGGTGTACCTGGTCTTCAATGATATTGAGGTAGTTGGTGCTTTACAAGTACCATCTACATGAACAATAGGACACTGTTTTCCAGTAAAAACATTACCCAAGCATCATACTAGTTTGTTGATTTCTCATAGTGAAATTTGGTACCATTGTCTCCTCAGGATAATTACACATACTGTATCATCCAGCTTATTCAAGAGAAAGCAATACAGGTGACTTTCAGTAATTGACATTGGTTAATATATATACCAACTGGTTTGTGGTTAAGCAACCCCAAACAAGGATTGATGTATTGTATTATGATGTATTTATTCCTTCCTTCATTAAAGCTAGATTAAATTTGTGTCAAAGTAAGCTTTGTATGTTATCATACTTGCAGGGATAGTATCTGTTCACTTATCACATTAACAAATCTTAGCTTCCCAAAATCTGGTTGGCAGTTTTCTTTTTAGACTATGATGTTTTAGGAATTATTTGATCAAATATGCTGGCCAGTATTGAAGGATGTCTTCCAAAAGCTAAAAAAAAAAAGAAGAAAAAAAAAGGAAAATTTTTACAAAACTGTAACATAATATCAGCCCTCCTACATGCCAGTGAATGCTAGACAAATCTCCTCAGAAATGAAGACTTGAGACAAGAGAACTGTGGTTCTACAGAAGGAAGTTGAGAATCCTAGGGACTGAACATGTGAGTAACAACAAAGTTTGAGAAAATGGAGAGGAGGAAAAAAAGAAAGACACTTGACATCAGGAAGAGTTGAAAGTTCCAGGGTACATGAGGAAACAGGGCTAGGAGAATTTGATGCTCACAGGATAGATTGAAAGCAGATGGGACAGAAAAACAATGTATAACTGACCTTGAGTAAATGGGTGGTGGAAAAATGGCTAGGAGAGGTAACAGGAAGACAAAATTTATTAAGAACTACAAAGGACAGGAAATTGTGGAGAGCCATGATTGTCAATGTACTGAAGGAACATGGCACATAGAAGAAGCTTGCATTCAACACATCAAAATGAAGTACTCGGTATTAGCATGTCTGCTGTTATATGGCAGTAGTTGTTATTCTTTTCACATGTTGCTAGTCAATATTTTGCCCCATCATCCTCTATCTGAAATAAATTCATAAAATGTTAAAGTGGACAAATTGTTGAAAGCAGTGTATTCAGTGCATTTACCATATTTCCCAGTGTTAAAGATATACCTCCCTGCCAATTGTGTCTCAAAAGTTTATACCCATATCCTATAGGGTAAAGGTTGTTTTTTTTTTTTTTTTTTTTTTTTTCATAGACCTATCCAAACCCCCAGAGGACAGTAATTTGCACTAGGCAGTAACCTGAACTTGTGTATATGACCTCTGAACGAAGTATGTAAATCAAATTTAGTATGAAACATTAATTAGAGAAACGAATCATGAATATCTTAAAAAGATGTAAACATAAAATTATTTCTCATATCTTTAGCTGAACTTGTAATTTAGATAAGTGTCATTATCTATGATGGCTCCCTCAACAAAAGGATAAATGCCAGGATCTGCAAAGCAAGTCAAGCCCTGGGTAGGGTGTGAGCTTGAGTGCCGAATCAACACAACATCCAGCAGTCCACCAAGCTCAAGGTTTATGAGATGGTTGTCCTCAGTAGCTTTCTTTATGGCTGTGAGACCTGGACTCTGTATAGAAAGCACATCAAACTGTTAGAGCCCTTTACATGCAAAGCTTGTATTCTATACTGGGCATCAAATGACAGAATAGGATCAAGGATCTTGGTCCTGGACCATGCAGAAACATCCTGAAAGCCCAACATGGATGGATGGGGCATGTCATTTGGATGAACAATGACTTAATCCTAAAGCAATTTCTCTATAGGAAGCTCTCTAAGAGAAAGTATAGTAGGCCATTGAAAGGTTTCAAAGATTGCATCAAGATTAACATTACCCATACTGGAATAGCCCCCATGCAGCTTGAAGAGTGTGCAGAGGGTTAAACTGGATAGCATGCTCTGATGTGCAAAATAACAGATGTTTAATGACATGCAACATGATAGCATCAGTGAGGCCTAATATGAAAAGGAAAGCAGTAGTAGAAGTACCCAAATCACTATGCCAGTTTCCCTGTCCCCATTTCAGACTTCTTTGCTGTTTCCACATTGGATTCCAGTCACCTTTTTTGAGTTCACCCTTGGATATAGATGTCATTGTTGAACTCTATAGGCCACTGCTATATCAATATTAACAGTATTTTCACTTTTCTCAAATCACTTTGACGTCAAGGGAATATAAGTGACAAAAGTAAAACTTCAATATATTAAAATAAATCCTGTAAAAAGACTTAATCACTTGCCCAACATCATTTTCAGCTTGTTGCCAATTCAGAAAAGCTTGTTAATATTTGCACACTGTATTACTTGGAGTGTTATGTCCTCTCACCCTTTTTCCTTGACTATGATGATCTTCTTGTAAAATCCAGTCATGGTCATTTTTACTGTTGCCATATCAGGATATGACACCACAACTGCTCAATTCAAATGCACCACTGTTTGGCAGTTTGAGCCACCTGTAGTGGTAGACAGATGTGTTGCTTAACAAAAGAGCTTGCCTACAGAGTATTAAAGGTTTTAAGTATTAAATTAGTGAACTTGAAAAAAGAAAGCAAATTATTTTAAAATCATTGAACTGAAAAAACTCAATCAATAGGCTGAAGACATGTTGCTTCAATGCACTGAGAAAGAATGAAGTGTGCACTAAAACAAAACATGAATTGGTGGTAATGCTATCGCCAAAGAGATATACACACACACACACACACACACACACACACACACACACACACACACACACACACACAATAGATAAATTGTTGTCTAAATTATGCAAAAATGAAAACAACACTGTCTTCTCATTTTAACAGATTTACCAAAATTACACAAAAATATCTTGAAATACTAAGGAGTAAATTTATTCAATAAAATTGCCATTAGCTTCAACCATGGCCTCCAGATGACTTCAGAATCTCCTGCAACTCTTCTGGACGGTTTCCTTGTTTAAGATGGTAAATGCCGTTATAATCCTTGCTTTCAGTTCATCTTTGGTGTTAGAGTTTTGTTGGTCTCTTGCCCAAATGTACTCCACACATAATAATGAAGGGGGTTGCAGTCTAGGGAGTTAGGTGGCCAGATGTAAGGGGTGATGTGGTTGCAGAAATTATTTGACAGCCATGACTGTGTTCTCCTGCTTGTGTGGCATGGTGCAGAGTCCTGTTGCTGGACATAGGGTCTTCCATCTTGACCCAGGGCAGCATTACTTCCTCAAGGTACTTAATGTAGGCTTTCATGTTGAGTCTGAGGCTCTCACCAACAAATTTGGGAGTTCTTTTTTTATCAGGACAATCAGAGTGAGTTTTCCAAGCTGCCATATCTTTGTAATCATCATTAGACTCCTAACTCTTTCTGATTCCTCTGCATTGTCCTCAGATTGACACCCAAACATTCTGAAATGTTTGCATTGGGGATTCCGGCATGAATGCCAAGCAGTACAGCATGCTCTTTCAAATTTCTGGTAGAGTGAATTGCATCATGGTGCTCTTTTTTTCTCACATTAAAAAAATGGTGACAATTTACTCATCACACCGTGTGTGTGTGTGTGTGTGTGTGTGTGTGTGTGTGTACACACAATTATATGTTTAGGCAGCAATCCCTCTTTTATTACATGTTTCATTATCCTTATCCTCAAAAATAACAACACCCTGCAAAGTCAAAACTAGAAACAACCAACATTATTTATGGGTTCAAATGCCCCTTGAGGAACTGTGTTCCTGATTGAACCAAACTCACCAATAATTACATTGGTTGCACTACTACATACCTATTCAGATGACTTATGTTACACTTATCCGACCATAGCTCCATTAGAACTC